ATGGGAGAAAGAAGGGCTGCTTATGCACAGGGAGACAGCTCAGGGGGCAGGAGTGCATGGAGAGATGGACACTGGGAAGAGGTAACTATGGGAAGGAAGTGGAAGGGGAGCTGTTGCATTGTGGTTAACTGTCATCAATGTCATGAGACAAAGTGTATGTGAACTGCTGTATGGAAAGTGAATTTGCTCTGTAAATCTTCACCCAAATCATACACACAAAAAAAAATTAAAAAAAAAACAAAAAGAAACCAAACTCAAGGCTGCCAAGTCAATTCCAACTCATAGAGACCTCCTATGGGTTTCCAAGGTGATAAATCTTTACAGAACTATACTGCCGTCTTCCTTCAGGGGAGTGGCTGGTAGGTTTGAACCACCAACCTTCTGGTTAACATTTAAATGCCTTAGGCAGTACACCACCAGAGCATGCTAGAAACCCTCAGTCCTGAGTCACAAGGACCCCTCCTTTGGTTTCCAAAGCAGTATCACTACAGAAGTAGATTGTTCAACCTTTCTTCCGAGGAGTGGCTGCTGGGTTTAAACCAGCTGACTTCTGGTTAGCAGTTAAATGTCTTAGGCATTATGCCACCAGAGCTCCTCTAAAATAACTACTAAAATAAAAATACATATTTCCATAGCTAAGAGGCCAAAAAAAGAGATAAAAGAATCATAAAAATTTATATAATTAATACAAAGTCAGGGGAAAAAGAATAAGGGAAGCAAAAAGATATGGGACATAAAAAAAAAAGAGTAAGATGGTAGCTTGAAACCAAAATATGCCAACAATCACATTTATATGTAAAAGGTCTAAATACCCAATTAAAAGGCAGAGGTTATCATATTGCATTAAAAAAAATCAAATTATATGCTGCCTGAAGGAAATGCACTTTAAATGTGGAATCACAAATAAAGTTAAACGTATAAAGACAGAAAAAGATACAGTCTAAAGAAAGGAAGAGTGGCTGTATCAAAATCATGCAAAGCAAATTTAAGAGCAAAGAATATATCAGAGATAAACATGGTCATTTCATAAAGCGATCAGTTAATCAAGAGAACATAACAATCATTTTGTGTGTGTGTGTGTGTGTGTGTGTGAAGATACACAGAACAAAGCACACATCAATGCAAGAATTTCAACATGTTCTATTCAGTGACACTGGTTACATTTTTCAAGTATGCCACTATCTTATTGTCTTTTCTAAATTATTTTACCATCATTAACACAAACTCACTGCCGTCTAAGATGAACAATGAATAAGGAAGATCGAAAAAGAGTTAATGCCTTTGAACTGTGGTGTTAGCAAAGAATACTAAAAAGATCACGAACTGCCAGAAGAATGAAGCAATCTGTCCTGGAAGTGCAGCTAGAATGTAAAAGTGAGGATAGCCATAGTTCATCTCATCTATTTTGGTCATGTAGTCAGAAGGGACCAGTCTCTAGAGAAGATTATCATGTTTGGTACAGTGTAGGGTCAGTGAAAAAGGGGAAGATCCTCAATGAGATGAACTGACACAGTGGCAGCAACGATGGATTCAAGCACAGCAATGACTCTAAGGATGGTGCAGGACCTGGCAGTGCTTAGGGTCTTTAGGAGTCAGAGCCAACTCCACACCACCTAACAACAACTGCTATCTAAATTTCTCATCTAACGTTTTAAGTTACTATTTTCAATTTGATCGCATATAGATAATTCATTAAAAGTACAATCTCGACAAGGCAGATGTTCTTTTCAAATTAAGCTATTGTTTGGTCTAAGGAAGAATTCAGGGGATAGTTTTGGTTTAAGATTTCCTACTCACTGCCGCTGAGTCGGATTTGACTCATAGCGACCCCTCCTTGGGTTTCCAAGGCGGTATCACTACAGAGTAGATCGCCAAATCTTCTGAGGGGTGGCTAGCAGGTTTGAACCAACAGCCTTCTGGTTAGCAGTCAAATGCCTTAGGCACTATGCCACCAGGGCTCCCAAGATTTCCTAGGGCAATAGTTTTTTTTTATTTTCTGCAGGGGGAGGTCATCCAACTTCCCTGATTCCAGAAATTCTGGATTCCATGAGAATTTGAGGAACAACTCAATGGGATAGCTCCTGTGATTATCATTTTACAGTTGAAACTGAGGCTTAGAGCAGAGCAGCAATTTGGCCTATGCAGAGAAATCAAACCCCATTTCTTATTTCTTTGACACCAGTTGATCAATCCAAATCAATTTATTAATTGTTCCCCTCTGTTCCACTTCTGATCTGATATCAGCTACACAGGTAGCACTTTTCCCTCTGACTCTAACCACCTAGAACTAGGCTGGACCTCACAAGTTAAAGGTCACAGTCTTCAAGATCACCATATTTGTGCAAGAGCTCAGACACCAGCCACAAGCTTAGGGGTCTCCACGACACACTCACTTCTGACATGCTGACTACAAATGTGCAGTTTTCCTACTAATCCTATAGGATGCCAGCAATAACCTCAGGAGTTCCCACGGCTTCCTTTACTTCTGATCCTACTGGCTTACTACTCTCTCAAGTTTAATATTTTATTGTAATTCTATTACAGCAAAAAAGATACAAATGAAGAGATGCATACAACGAGGACTGGGAGAGTTCCCAACATGAAGCTTCCATGTCCCAACTAGGGGTGTGTCATCCTCAGACATGCATCAATGTCTTTCACCAACCAGGAAGCCCATGGAGCTGCCCTTTCCAGAGTCTACACTGGAGCCTCTCTGTATGCAGACTTGCCTGATTAAAGTGAACCATCAGCCCCTTCCCCTGGTGGTGGTTCTTTCTGACCTAACCAGACCCCATCTAAGAAGGTACCTTATTAGCATTAACTCTCATATGTGGTTTGGAGGCCTAATCAAAGACATTTCAAATCACCAAGAAAATTCCAAAGTTTTAGAGTTTATCTTTCAAGAGTCAAAGACAAAGACCCAACTCACTGATTAAAGTTAAATTCTTTACTCTATACCTAACAGAAAGAGACTCAACTGAGAATTAGAAAGCCCTGATTCTAGTTTTTGGTCTTGAGGGTTTGGCAAGGTCTTCATTTATTCCAGACCTATTATCAAAGAGCAAGTATTCAGCCTATTTCATCAAGCTTTTGTGTTGATCAAATGATACAATGGAAAGCCACTTTACAAATCTGGAGTATTAAGATTATTCTTTTTAAAAGTATGGAAACACAAATATCTATACAAACAGTATCTACATGAACTCAAAAATATATAAGCATAAATAAAGGTCATTTAAAGTGGTAGAAAAGATAACATAACATCATGCTTTCACATATTTTCTCATCATTCTTATTTAAAAGTATTAAGTTTAAAATACATTATTTTTAAAAGCGTTAATGGTTAAACTCACTGCCGTCAAGTAGATCCGACTCATAGTTACCTCTCCTTGGACTTCCGAGGCAGTATCACTATGAAGTAGATTGCCCAACTTTCCTTCTGAGGACTGGCTGGTGGGTTTGAACCACCAGGCTTCTGGTTAGCAGTCAAATGTCTTAGGCACTACGCCACCAGAGCTCCCAAACACTTATAAGCTCTCAAATAGTTTACAAAAATGTTTCAGAAAAAATAATGCACTGATGTTTGTTTAAATTAATGTTTACCATTAGTAAGCATGTATTTGCAATAATTAATTAAAAAAAAAAACAATAAATTATTGGTAATTCTTAATATTTAATGATCATTTATTGAATTACAATTTGCAATAAAAATCACATTTCTCAAAGACATTACATATCTGTTAATAAATCAATCATGATTCATTCATTTTGCCTTTCTGTGTCTCCAGGTAGCTTGCTAACAACCCATGACTTCAGTTTTTCTAGCTCAGTTTTGCTTAGTTCATGGTAAACACCTGGGAAGCTATGAAATTGTGTGCTTACTCCTAGAGAGCGTAACATTGAGTTTGTCTCTTCAGCCCAAGAATAAAGAACTAACTCATCCGCAGTCCCATGACACTGAAATAATTCAGGAAGCACACCATTAGTTTTCTGAAGAGCCTAGACAAAAGGATATAAAAATGGAAAAGTTAAGAAAATCATTTTTGAGAAAATCATTCTGGGAACACAAAGAGAGCAGAAATATTCCCATTTTACCAAAGGTTCAATTACTAAAGGAAAAAAGAGCAGTGGCTGTTATTCATATTTTTAATTTGTTTTTAATCCTTTCCTCTTTGACACTTTCCTTAACAATGTTCCTTATACTGAGCATCTCCTGATCATTAATGGCCAGCTGGAATTTATCAATAGGACTCATTTGTTCATGAATTCCCAGGAATACTCTGTGAATCAATTGTTATTGTTTAATTTTTTTAAATCTGGTAACTTACCTGGTAAACGGCAGATGTTTTATTCAGAAAACTGGAAAGAGCAAATACTCCTGCCACATCTCGATGATTTCTATATGCTAAATGCATTGCCATGCATCCCCCCATAGAAAATCCTCCTAAAAAGAAGTAAAAAAACAACTTATCAAAAAATGCAGAACAAATATATGCAGTAATAATTTAGAACAGTGCCACAAATAGTTAAGTAACTAAAAGGTCAGACATTCAAACTCACCCAGAGGTACCTCAGAAGAAAGGTCTGGCAATTTGCTTCCAAAAGATCACAGTCTTGAAAACCCTATGAAGTACAGTTCTACTCTGACACACATGGGGTGGCCATGAGTCAGTATAGACTGGATGGTAACTGGTACTGCTATCTGTTTGTTTTCCATATATATTTTTTATTATGTTTGGAGACCTATAAAGAGATACAGTACTAAAAATGAATTTAGTCTATTTTAGGTCTCAGAGCAAATGACTTGCAATATGTAAATAACAGTTCTATCCATGTCATCATGATATCTGTGCTATAAAAGACTCAAACAAAGAAATCAAGTTTGTCAAGTAAAAAATGCTTATTATAATTCAAAATGTAAGTCATAGAATAAGTGGTATTAATTTAAACTTCTAATATCCACTCATGTCTTGCTTATATTATGTTATAGGAGTCCTCACACTGCAACTACAATTACTATGTGCTTTTTGTCTTACTTGCCATGCTATGAGCTTCTTGAGGAGTTATATTTCTAGTATCTGTCATATAATAAATATTTAGTGATATGGGAATTAGGAAGGATCATCAAAAATTTGGTAGGCTATTTAAAATATTCTTGGTTTGTAACATTATTTTGCAAAACTCATATACAATGGTATAAAAACAAAATATAAATTCCTTTTATAAAATAGTCTTTTATGTGCCAAGCACTGTGTTTGCCATTGAAGAAATGCAGATTAACACATGGTCCCTCCTGTTAAGGGGAGTTTCATAAACAAATAGATAGATAATATGGAGATAGGTGCACAGTGTGACATTTGATATGTGACTAAGGAAATGGACTTTTACTTAATTTTAATTACTTTAAATGGAAATAGCCACAAGTGGCTAGTTGCTACCATATTAGACAAAGCTTAATTTAAAACTGCCCAATAATTACAAAAAAATCTTCTAATTTGTAAAGTGAACAAAAGGAAAATTCATCTTTCATAAATGATACTGCCAGAGATAAAATAAAAAGAGAAGGATAAAACATGAACAATATAAATAAGATCAGTTAGCAAAAATTTACATTAAAAATTATTTTAAGGATTTCCAGTAAGAAGGCGGAACAGGCAAAAAGACTGCACAGACCCTCTTCAACAAAGAAAAGGCGAAGCAACTAACACAGACACAGAAGATAATCCTGGACCCCTGAGCCTTGAAGAGAAGGATATAGAAGTGGACTAAACCCCAACTAGCAGAAGAATTCGCATGAAAATACCAAAAAAGGAGACATACGGAGCTGCAGTCTGGCAGCGATCCTGACAGCACAGACAGCTTGGAGATCGATGAGTGGTGGTAGGACCTAAGAATTAACCTAAAAACCAGCCCTGCCATCCAGGGACTGCACAGAGGACTGCTCCAGTGGCAAAGCAGCAATGAAGAGGAAGGCGGGCTGAGTTGTGGACTTTTGCCTGTTCGGAGGGCGCAGCCATTTTGAATGTTTACAAATGACTTGACCCTTTTGGATATTTAAAGAGACAGCACTCTCCCAGATTCCAGGGGCTTAAGAACAGGTTCTGCTTGCCAGTAACCCCAAGGACACTCCGGACCTGGACAACTGAGAAAAGGTGCGACATTCCCCTTGTTATTCTTATACCCCACACCCGCTTGGTGAATAGAAGTGTACCATCCCCACTCCCACCCACCTTCTGGGCCCGCAGGAACTCCATCACAGTCTGTGTGCTCAGATGACGTCTGAGTGCCCTACCCTGCCCTCCCTCGAGTTTTTTCTTTTTTTTTCCCTCTTTCTTTTCACTGCTTTTTAGTTTTCGTCTGTTTAAAAATTACTATTATTATTGATACTTTTGTCCTTTATACTATTCTTTATTCTTCCACTCCCAGGTCCTGCTTTCAGCTTTTTTGCTTTTCCCTGTTCCTGGTTGCAATTTTTTTTTTCACCTTTTTTTCTCATGGTTAATCCCATTCCTTATTTTTCTCTTTGCATTTTTTCTCATTTTTTTCTTCATTATTCGCTTTCTCTAACTTTTTTCTCTTATTGCACTATCTCTAGATACTGCAGGTTTTCTTTTTCTTTCTTCTTCTGTTTCCCTTTTTTCTTTTTTTGGTTACTGTTCCTATGTAATTACATGGTGTAATTTTTGTCCATGTGCTTTTAGTTTTTTGATAGCTATTCAATTGTAATTTTTGTCTGAGTGGGAGACAGAAACAGTCCCCATAAGACCCAACTACACCCACACCTCCTGCAACTTCACTTAGTGAGCGAGCCAACACCTCCTTCCCTGCCAATGGGATAACAAGAAAAAAACACCAAAAAGAGCCTGAATCACCCTTGGCTATCTTCAGAAACAGTTAACAGAGTTCAAAATACAACAATGCCATGATGTCTCAGAGACAAAAGAACATTACAGTCCACAAAAAGAAGTAAGATAAAGTGGTAGAAACAAGGGAGCAGGATACAGAACCAAAACACATCCCTGAGGAAGAAGCAGCACTGGAACTCTCTGATAAGGAATTCAAAAGAATTATATTTAGGTATCTTCAAAAGATTGAGAGACAGACCAAAGAAAACACAGAAAAAACCCTAGAAGAATTTTAGAAGAAAATACAAGAACAAAATGACACAATAAGTGAAAAATTAGAAATG